CTATTTTGAAGAAACTAGAATATAAAACATGTTTTCAGTTAATTCACCTTTTTTGTTAAGTACATAACTCCACATGTTTTCATTCATAGTTTTGATGCCTTCAGTGAGAATCTACCAATGGTCATGAAAATAAAGAAAACACATTGAATGAGAAGGTGTGTCCAAACTTTTGGCCTGTACTGTATATATACAGTATATGTATTTTTTAGTTGTTAGGTTGGTTCTGTTCTACATCTGTAAATGTGTAATAATAATGTAATAATGGTGAACAAAACTGCAAGGACAAACTGGAATTGTCAAGAAAAGCGTTTACTGACCATGCCAAAGAGAAACAGTTTAGCCTCAAACATTACACACACAAGTAGTAAGCAGAGGTTCCATGATTTCCCAGAAAGTATTGTCACAATCATTTGTTTTTTTATTTCAAAGTACAGTACCAGCATTCCCTCCTTTCATCATTTCTGGGAAACATCCATCAATCACAGAAGACAAACGGAAGGGACGACAACATGCCAAAACAAAGTGCACTGCGGATTGTCATAGAGGCTGGATAGTCTGTCTGCTTAACCATACCGGCTGACCATAACCAGTTAACCATACCAGTTAACAGTGGGTCGAGCCTTTCCAACTGGTCCTAGCTTTGTCAGTGTGTTAATGGCTCTGTGCTTTTCAGTTGTGCCCGAAACATCCTAATTAACCTGAGCCCCGTACTGTACCTACCTACTCTGTCTACCTCACACCAATTACAGAGTCATGCAGTATTCTCTTTACAAACATGACATACCTATCAGGCTCTGGAGAATCAATGAGCAGTCTATAGTCACAGTCCTATTTAGTTTGACTAACTCTACATATTCTTTGTTTTTTTTTTTTTTAATTATAGCCTTTTCTATTTACATAGGTGTGCAAATAAAGTCACATAGCTGAAAAAATTTGACGCCTGCTTGAGAATGTTACATTGGACTGAGGTTATACTGATCAATATAGCTTTCTAAAATTTATGCCAGTCTGAATGTGTTATATTGACTATTACACATCTTAAAGGCTGCATTGTAATCAACATGGTTTATCATAGTTAACACAAGTTTGTTTCATTAACTGGCTGCAGTTATGAATGGATAATCAGCTACATTAGGGTACAGTGTGCAGAATTAAACTACATCACACTGGCCATTACCTGGCAGGGGGCGTGAGAGTGCATAATGACTGAAGAGATTAAGAAATATGTGCTGGAAAATGCTGCTTTCAAAGTCAGCTAGTAAACAGCAATGGATGCTAGGTCACCTCTCTCAGTCCGCGTCATGATCACACTGAGAAACCAAAATCACGAGCGCAACCTAGAAATTCACCCTTCAGCTGCGGTGGAAACCGTCTTGACAACCCCCCCCCCCACAGTGCACCTTGCATTGCCATCCAGACGGGAGCTTCCAGGACAGTGTTTTGTTATCACCATGAATTGCTCAAGAGTATATTTGAAACTTTTTCAAAGAAACCATATCCTGCTAACTCCTGGGGTTATTCTTTTATTTATTTTTTGTTTCATGTCAGTCTTTCATTTTCTTCATCTTTCCCTTTCCTGAGCTAGCGGAAAAAAGGTCTGTCTCATCCACCGTCTACCGGCAGGCTTCCTCCTTCAGCTCCTTGTTTTTCCTCACCTCCTCCGCATGCTTGTCCTGAATGAAATGGTGGAGAAACACAACCACTGAAGATAAATGAGAAGTAAAGGATAATAGGAAAGGAGCAATGGGGAGAGACATAAAGAGACTCTGGAGTACTGTATGGTAACACGGGGGTACCGGGGGTACCTTTTCTTGCAGACGTTCCAGCATAGCTGCCAGAAGGGCCTCCCGATTCTCCTTGTTGGCCTCCATCTTTTGCTCCAGCTTTTCCTTGGCCATCTTGATGAAGTTGTTGTTCTCCTCAATGGCTTTTTGGATCACCTCACGTTCATGCTCCCTCTTTTCCGCTAGGTGCTTCAGCAGTTCTGCCTCCTGACACTAGAGGGAGACAGAAATTCAGGGTAAAAAAAAAAATCAAACCGTTTCTGCTGATTGTTATCTGCATATAAAATCGAGCAATTTGCATGTAAGATTAAAATTGCTTTATGTTGCCCAGGGGAAATTATTTTGTAAAGTCTCATTCAATAAATCACTTCTTACACAAAATATATAATATATAATGATATATTAAATAACTTCCAGCTAACCAACAAATAACTTCCCAGATGTTTCAAGGTAGTAACATACTTCATTGTAAGTACATTTATAAGACTTCTTTTGGAATTGCCTTATGTGATCAGAGTTCATATGAGAATATTATTAAATCTATTTAATCTAATAGCTGTACATTTGCAATTTTTTATTTCATCAGAAGAAAGACCCTCATTACAGAAAACAAGCAGAAGTGGGTGAGACTGCTGTGTAAAGCAAAGTCCAAGAGAGAGCATTCAGAGATGCTGGACATTGAGCTAATCCCTGAGCTCTGTGGTGATGTCATCACCCTAGGAGGAGGAAGTAAGGAGCATGCACTGATTACACGTCATGACAAACCACATCAGG